GAGAGAGAGAGAGAGAGAGAGAGAGNGNGNGGGGGGGGGGAATGAATCTCGCTTCAGTATAAATACCTCGCTTAGGTATAAACACGTCGCTTGAGCATCTCGCTCAAAAATAGCTCGCTTCCATCGCTTAACTAACCCTTATTCAAAAGTTCGAAAGAAAAGTTTAATTATAGATAGGCTCCTCTCGGTCTTGTTCTTTCAGTAGCTGATGAAAATAGCTAGCTAGCTACCCAATTACTTTTCTCATCTTCGATCTCCGCCGACTGACTATTGCCTACAATCGCATCCATCCATCATCCTTTCGCGTAATATATACAAGAAACAAAGAAATAAAGAGAAGTGCCCTTCCATTTCTTTTTGGATTTTCCTGTCCCCGCCTATTTCCCCGCCCATGCCCCTAATCTGTAGTGCGACCAAACATGCCGCCGCTACGCAAAACGGAAAGAAAAATAAGGTTCGTTAGTCGTTATCATTACCCCCCCCCCTTTCCCCCCTTGCCGTCAGACTCAAAATATTTCCTCCTCAACCACCTCCACCGGAGACCCAAGCTGCTTGCTCGCCGTCTGATTACCTGCCCTTCCCACAATATCAAACACGCTCACCAGCCCCCGCGGCTTCTGCAACCACTCCTTCTCGCCCACCATAAAGGTCGCCGGTGTGCTAGCCCCACTTGCAAAACTAAAGCTCGTGGAGATCGTGCTCTCGCCTCCACCATCTCCCAGACTAGGCGCACCAGTACCAGAACCAGCACCATCAGCAGCAGTAGCAGCCATAATGTCTTTATCCAGCGTCGCCCTCGTCGCCGTCGTCATCGCGCTGCCACCATCACCCCCAAGGCGGATACTCGTCTTGCTACCCACGCTCTCCCGCACCAGGTTTGGCCTTGTCGGGAACCCACTCAGCGTGCTCGTCCTCACGGCCACGCGAGGCGGCTCGGCGATGCGCGCCGCCGAGGGCCGCGAGAAGGCTGGCAGGCCCATGTCCTTCTTGGCCTTACCGATCCAGAGCATCTGCTCGTGCTCGCGCAGGTAGCGGTCGCCGCTGAAGGACTTCTGCACAATCTCGCGGCTGCGCATGCCCAGCCGGCGGCGCGCATCGCTCTGCTCGTACATGCGGCGCGTGATGCGCGCGACGTCGGCGGGCGTCGGGTCGGGCGGGAAGGTCGAGTCGCCCGTCTCGGGCGACTTGATGGCATCTACGTCGGCGTAGGGGGACCACTCCTCGAGGAGGGCGAGGATCTTGATCTGCGCCCGGGCCATGTCGTGGGCGTCATTGGGTGCGACGACAGCCGAGTAGCGGGATCCATCTACGGGACTGGTGAGCACACGCAGGGATGCGCCGACGTCAGTGCAGACTACAGGAGCGCCTGTCAGTGCTGCTTCTCCGAGGGCGAGAGGGAGCCCCTCGGAGATGGATGAGTTGAGGAAGACCCAGGTGCGTTCGAGGACAGCGATGGGGTCTGCTTCGCCTTTCAGACCAACGTTATGGCGGAGAGACTTGGTGGCAATAATCTCCTGGCAGTCGGTCGTATAGGAAGGTGTCTTATCCATGGCACCGTAGATCTCGAGTTGGTAGTCGGAAAAGCCCCATTTGTTGATGATGATATCAGCTGACAGCAAGGCCGTTTTGATATCTTTCGCGAACCTGGACTACATTAGCGTGAAGTTCAGAGCACAGGGTTTCGGATACATACCATAGATGAGAGAGCATGGTGACGGTCGGCTTCTGGGTCTTGATCTCCTGCACGGGAGCGAAACGCTGGCACCGTGTTAGCTTGACTCCTCCCACTTAGCAGCAGCGAAGTAGGGACGACATACCTCCATGTTCGTAATTCCATTGACGACAGGGTCAATCTTTCTCCTGAACATCTCTCGATTCTCAAACTTGCCCTGACCAGTACCAATCTCCACCTCCCAATTGGGATTAAAGAAGTCTGCACACGGCAGGATTGTGTCCGCATGATGCAGCGTCAATACCGAAGTGACACGCATCAGTCCGAGCAACGAGTTTCTCGTAAACGGTGATAGAGAACAGAGAGCCGAAGAGAGGTACAGGTTTGTTTCTCTCCAGCTGATCGCGTGATCCCAGATCTGCAGCGTGCATCCGCGCTTGATCTTGCAAACGATTCCATACGAAGCGGATACACTGTGATGGGACGCCTGGAAGACCGAAGGCATCTTCTCGGGGATCGGAATCGAATAGATGAACAAGTATCGGGACCAGAGCTCAAGTCCCTGATCGAGTTGGCCCAAGGTTGGAAGCTCCGTTGTAAACCAGTGCGAAGAAGGGAGCGAGTTATCCGCCTTCTGAGACAGCCATAGATTTCTCCACGCGGACTTGACAGCGTCACTCCTCCAGACAGCGCTCCAATGGCGGCCTTTTTCAAAGTACGCATTCAGGTTGATGAGAGCGCGAGTCACTTGCTGGATATCTGCCATGGAGAAGTCCAACGACCTGGCCCCACGAACGAGAGCCGCGAGGATCGGCACGAAGTTTCGCTCGATATCCAACATCGTGGTGTGCGTCGTGATATGCTCGACTTCGGAATCCAGACGGTTGTTAAAGAGTCCGTGGGTGGGCGTCATAAGATCAAGACCCCAGAGCGGAATCACTTTTAGCGAATGAATATTGCGCTCAATCTGACGCTTCGGGATGCCGAAGTCGTTAGCGGACTCGGCCACCATGTGCCATTTGATGGTGCGAAGGTTGTTGACCACGTCGCTGCGGCACGCCGACACCCCGCCTCCTTCGTTGGGCCAGGTGCCGGTATCGACGGCGATGACATGGAGTGCCGCTTCGTCGTCGTCTCCTTGCGTGGTGATGTTAGACCGGGTTCGACTGCAGGCATCGCCTCCTTGGCCAAAGCTGTAAAGATCGTTTATTTTGATGGCCAAGGGGGTCCAAGACGACACGGTATGGTCGAGGTCCGTACTCGCTAGTACGGCATCGCGGTTCTTGTCGAGGTAATGCTCTGCAGCGTCAAGCTTGGCCATATCGCGCTTATGCCAATACGGAGCAAGAATCTCGTCGCGGCGAAGAAGTCGCTCGTCGAGCCAGCGAACTATAACGCCGTCGAAGGCAGGGTCTTCTTTCCATGCCTTCCATAGCCAGGACCTTGATTGGGATGTCGAAACGGGGAAGTGCCGAGTGTGAAGCCCTAACCACCTCGTTACTGCGGTTGTTTTCATCGAGCTGAAGCCGTATAGTGGATTGTCGTCCAGGAATGAGACGCGGTCAGGCTTCTTTAAAACGTTGAGATGATCGTGCAAGATCAGATCTGGCGTGTCTACCTTTTGTCCGTTGAGCTTGGTGACGATGGTAGGATGAAATTTATGGTCATACAAATACTTGCTTTCCCACACGTCAGGGCCCATCACGAAGGTAGCTTCCGTGACCTGGGCGTTGGGCAGCCACGAGTCAAGTCTCTCTGCCTTTCTTCGCGGAGGGGCACACCAGGCAACGGTGCAGCTCATGTGTGGAAGTACAAACTCTGCTCGCAGAAGGGCGCCACCATGCTTGCTGGACTTCTGGTAGTGATACTTGAAGCGGATCATGTTGCCGTCGAGGAGATAAGAGCCAGAATCGATCTGACCCTTGACGTTATACGAGACGTCTTGGAAAACGTTGCGCCCTGCGACACCCTTTCGGGTGATGGGGGCCTTCAACATGTCGGTCTTCGACATACTGCGAGATGCACGTGGGTCTGTCGCTCTGTACTCGTAGGTATAGTCGTTGACTGTCTTACCTTTCTCCATCTCGACACGGCTCTTGAGAAACATGTTGTTGCTGTATACGTTGATCGAGACCAGCTTATCTCGAGTCGTTGGCTCCGTCTTGTGGTCGCCCTTGTATTGGAGAAGCTTGAAGCTGGAATCATCAACAGTATGGACGAACCCTGTTGAAGTGCCTTCAAGATTGCGGATCAAGATTCGTTTTCTTTTTATGGAAACTTCCATGCCGTGGAGGTTCTTCCAAGTGGTGACTACATTTGGGCGACCGTGAAACAGGAACACGGGTAACAGGAATCGTTGGATAGCTTTAGACCATGCCCAGATGGAGAGAAGGACGAATCGGGTGATAGTATTGCCGACGTTGGCATTGCCCGGGAAACTGCAGCGAAGCTCTCTCTGGAACTCGGGATCTGCCACGAACGCGATCATGAAGAATTTGCAGAGCCTTCCAGCGAAGTGGTACGCGACACCCGAGTAGTGGATGACTCTGTCTCGCACAGAAAGTTTGAGAGGCGTAGCGTGTGCAAGCAGGTCGAGAACTCGGGTAGATGAGCCAGGAGACGATCCATCAAGTAGCAAGTCAGACTGCTGCATAGTTTCGCTATCGATAGACCGAAAGGAGGCGGATTGATGATAGCTTTGTCTCGAATGGAGATTGGGAGGTGCTACACCGCTAGATGAACACTGTTCTTGATCTGCCCAGGCGTTGACGCGAGCCAGCATCTGAGAGCCCGAGACGACGGCGTAGTTGCAGCGGGCTACGTATGTCTCGAACGTGAGGCCGGTGGTGTGGTTCAGCTTGCTGTCCAACATGATGACCTGGTCTTCTGTCAGGAGTCCCACGACTCCGAGACAACGGTCGATGATGTATTTCCGCAGCTCAGCAGGCATGTCCTCGGAATCCATATTACAGTCGAATCCAAGACACAGACTTTTCAAGATATCTCTCGACAGATAGTCCAGCACCTCCGGCACGTTCCTCGTCTGAACCTTGAGATGGCGTTCCAGGACATCGGGGCGAGCGGTGCTATCTGAGGTGCCATTGCTCAGCCAAAGTGTCCTGGCCAGCAAAGCGTCGGGGGTATTGTAGCCCATGAATCTCTCGGCCGTCACCTGTACCAGCAGCTCAGCAACGTCCCAGTAGAAACCGTGCAGGGGGTCATTCGTCTTGGACACGCGTCTCGTCTCGCAAGCAACCAAAAGACGGATCTGGCCATCTTCAGTGGAGCTGATGGCCCGCATGCTTGGGTCCGAGAAGTGCTCCACCGACATTAGTTCCACATGGATTGCCCGCTCTCTGAACATCTGCATGCTGAGTTGGAGCAGGGCTGGTGCATCTGGGAACGCACTTTTGGCAATTCCGGGCAGCTCAACCTGATTAAACTGATCGATGATCAGTCTGACGTGGCTTCCGAACGCTGATTCGGGATCCACTGTCAGGCGTTCTTTCTTGGAGAGACTCGAGAGTTGCTCGTACAGGCTTCGGAGTTCCGGCTGTGACCATGCGTGATCTGGGCCGGGGCTCGAGTACGCGTTGTAGGCACCCTGGGACGACAGAGGAGGTCGAGGCCTGTCTTCAGGTGGTCCTACAATCTTCCCAGCCCAAAGCGAGAGAATGGCGACAGTCCAGCATGCAGCACCAAGGGCAACGATGTTGCCGTATGGGAAGCTTGGCAACTTGTGGTCCAGAACAAAGCCGAGAGGGAGACCGACGGCGACGCCGATGAGGAGCGGCTTCAGAGCGTGCGGGCCTGAGAAAATCTTGGTATACTGGTACCACAAAAGACCCGTATAGGCCACGACATACGACAAGAAGATGATGGTGCCCTGGCTGCTGACCGTGCCGTCATCGCTGGGAATGTGGCTCGCGAAAACCCAGATGAGGACGGAGACGACCGCCAATCCCCAGACGTGGAGCATCAGGAAGTGAGCAAGGGTTTTCCAGTATACCTTTCTGCGGTTGTCGGACTTCTGCTTCAGCGCGTGGGCGAGATCAGCGTCGGTGGGGATGATTTCTTCGTCGACCCGGCCGGCAAGTTCGTGCAGCTTGTTGGCGTTGAAGTCAAGCAACACAGCTCCAACGAGATAGTACGCGAGGCCAAAGCCGACGGGCATCGTCAACGAGACGTTGGAGCTCGTGAGGCCGATCAGATCGCCGCCATTCAAGAGAGAGATCCACTTATCGAGCAACGCAACGATGAAGTACAACATGGTACACCCGATCTCATCTCCCGCCTGGCGCCAGTGGAGAAATCCATTGTGAAATTTAATACCCAGCTGAGACTTCTGGATCGAAAACATGGCCACTTTGGTCTGAACGTTCCAGGCCGAGCTGAACATGATGGGCTTTGGAACACCCGTGGATCGGCAATACCAGTCCATCAAAAAGTTGGTCCCGTCGAAAGAGGCAACCAGCCTGCTGACCAGTGGGTCCTGGGTCTTCTTCGAGAAGATGGACTTTGCACGCTCGGTGACGACGTCTTCCAGCAATGCCTGTCGAGCGAACCGCAAGACAGCTGGATCAGACATCTTTTCGATGCCGTTCATACTGGCAGTCTTGTTCTCGATGTACCAATTCCGCAGGGTCGAGTCATCGAGGAGGGAGGCTTTCTGGTACCACGTAGTCCACTTTGAGCCCGTGCGACGGACGCCAACGAAGAGCATGCTGACGAAGACGTAGAGTACCGTCAGGTAGATGGCGACATCGTGTTTCGGGACGAAAATGGTGACGATGGGCGATACGAACAGTATGGGGATGCAGGCGATGATGGTCGCGCGGCCAGAGTGGAATGCCGAACCGATGAACTGGTAGTTCGCTAAGGCGGCCAGGAGCGAGAGATATGTGGTGAGAACCATCAGGTAGAGGAAGAACACACCAGCTAAGTAGACCGTTTTCAAGCAGGCAAACGCGATGAATCCCACAATTCCCACGACGAGTGTGAAGGCAAGCCCACCGAGCAGTCTGGTGACCACAAAGTAGTTCATGGCCGAGAAGGCCATCGAAGCCAGGTAGAAGGTGCCACCACAAGTGATCCAGGTGCCAATCGCCCCAGAAAGCAGGAGGGAGATCATCAATGCGGTCGTTGCACTGTGTTGCTCTCCGGGCGACATGTAGTCTCTCTGCGCATTGCTCCCGCTGAGATACAACCCGTGGCCGGTAGTCGTGAGCAGCATGATATCGATCAGAGCTGGGATCGCAAAGATGCTCAAAAATGTGAATCTCTTGTAGGCTGCCATCTCCGTTGGCTTGTAGTTGGGATCAACATCGATCTGTGCCTCGGCATAGGCAGACGGAAGCGCAGCCATGGTCTCCTTGAACATCGGCGGCTGATGGGCAGGGAGCGAGTAGAAGGTGCGGTACTTGGCCGAAAGCATCTCGCCAAACTGACTCGGACTGCAATCGAAGTATGATTCGCAGCGCGACCCCAAGGCGAAGAGCTCGGCGAAGGCAGCAGATTGATCCGTCTGGTCGTTGAAGAGCGGGTTACGATCGGTGACCTCAACGTAGACTTCTTCAAAGGCGAGCTTGCGCATGGTGCAGAACAGCGATAAAGCATACAAGTCCCCAACGGCGCTGACTGCGGAGTTCTGGAGGAACCGACCGAGAGAATCAACCATCGCCTGGAGATCCTTGTGGCTTCTCGATCGTAGCGCAGTCTCAACCTTCTCCCTGATCTCATGGAACAAGAATACCGCAACCGGTAGGGTCGGGTGGCGGCGCTTGGCTTGGCAATGCCAGCGTAGACGAGATTCGAGAAGTTGCTCGATGCTAACTTCTCCCTTTAAGAATCCGACTGTGTTGACGGTCTTGAGCTGGTTCCAGGTGGGAATGTCGACGAGACGCTCTGTCGCCGCAGCTTTGATGCCGCCGAGGATGGAGCACTTTTCAGCATCGGGCGCCAGAGAGGCGCGCTGAAGAAGCTGCAGGCACTCTTCTGGCGACAATAGCTCGACGTCTTGCACAAGTCGTGGTGGGATGCCATGACGGGAGAGCAGGGTCTTGTTCCACCGGTTGTATGCCGTTTCTGCTTTAATGCACGCCCTTCGACTCACGCCACGACTCGAGAGGTAGGTGTGTAGGAGGGTACCCACCACGTCTTGCGCATTCTTGGAGATATAGATGTCGGCCGTCGCTTTTGCCGGATGAGCGTGGTAGACGGCCCAGAACTGCCTCTCGGTAGTTCGCTGGAATCCCGAATGGAGTCCCAAAAAGAGTCGGATGCCGCGAGACCCATCATCGGGAGATGCCGTCAGAGTGTCAGCCAGAGTCTTGACGAAATGACGGACCGAGGGGGCTCCAAGCAGTGATTGCTCGCCGGGGACATTGGCCTGGGCGAGGAAGGTGCCGAAGATCCTGCCGTACTCGCGCAGTTCGGTGGCGGGAACTGTATTTAGCAGCTCTAGCTTCCGGAGCTTCCTTTGCGAAAAGACAACCTCCTGGAAATCATCAAGCCCGATATCGAGACCGACTGGAAAACAGCCGAGCCCATCGTAGCTGGCACCAGATGCAGACACGCACAATGGATCGCCCCTGGCTCCATCTCGCAGCACGAACCACTCCATGCTCTCTTGGAAGCCACCATTGACCGCCGAAGGTGCTGGGCTGGCCTCGTCATGCTGGCACGCGCTGTCATCTCTAGCAGCTTGGAGACTTGGGAACATGTAGTCGTGGCGTCCAATCACGGAGTGGCGGTGGTTCGCAGTTTGGGGCTTAGAAAAAGTCAGCTTCAACAGTCTAAGATTTTTCATCAAATTGGATCGCAAAGATAGATACCAGGAAGTCTTTCGTCAAAATGGGTCGCGAAGATACTCACAGCCTTTATCTTTTTCCACATGTCGTGAAGTTCCATCACTCGTCGCTCTTTCAGCCAGGCGAATGCACTCAGCGGCTCCACTTCGACAGCCTCAGCTGTCGCATCCGTGAGGGCCTTCTTAGCTCCTATCCAAGACACTACACTATAGAAATTGCACCAAGCGAATGTCCGCTTCAATACGGCATTGGACAGAATCACTCCGTCATCCACCGTCTCCCAGACGAAAACCGTAAAGACTCGCACACATGACTGTGAGACGAAGGATTTCACGGTGGTCCGTAAGCGTTCCATGTCGAAGCAATCTCGTTTCTCGCCATCGGGTAGGACCAGGCCGTTTCGAATAATCAGACCTGCAATAGAGCTACAAGACAAGACATTTCCGTCCGGCAAGAAATCGGGCGCTGATGTTTCGACGTAAATTTCGAGACCAGAAGCGGAAATGACCCTGCAGAGCTCGTGGAAGACGGGCGAGGAAAAAATCTCCCAGCCGGCCAGCAAGACTCCGCTAAATCCATTATTTCCACCTTCGGCACCCCGAAATGCGGCAATCATCACGCTCATCGTCCGGTCCAGACAGGAGAGAATAAAGTCTTCCGACTTCCCCGCCGTGGTCGCAGCCGCCAGGACATTGTTCAGATCGATTCTTCCTATTATGTGCTTCGGGAGAGTTCCGCGGCCAGACATCTCCTCCAAGGCCCGCTTGATATCCGGCTGCAGCGGATTGAGGACCACCATCTCTCGGTCCAGCAGCACTCTCGCTTGCGCGTCTGATATCGGACTGCTAAATTTGCCGAGATATATCCCCAGGGAACTAGGTTTCTTCGCCTCCGTCCCCTCCCCCCCCTTGACAACGGTGCCCACAAAAGATTGGGGGACATATTTCTGCAGGTGGCGTGACACTCGCTCTTGGAGGTGTTTGGATGGCCCGTCCTGGTGAGATCAGCGTGTCGGCCTGGGAAGAAAGTCATTGCGCCTGGACTCACCGTTTGCCTTGTACTCCTCCATATTTTGCGCGATATGAGAAATATTATATATGAGGCCCCGACAAAGACCGAAGCGAGGGCCAAGCTGACCAGCACCTAACTGCTGTGAGTATGCACGTATATATATGTAAGGGACTTGACCTTCCTACCAGCTGCCACCAGTGTCTCTTCAACTCAGCCCAGTTACCAGCACGCACGCCCGTTATATATGCCATGGTGCTACTTAAAGAGATGGCACGAAGTTGTATCCATAAGGTTGCTCGAATACCTCGGTGTTACCTGGGTTGAATGAGAGTTGATGAGCAGACAACGACTTGACAATCTCGAGCGATCGTAGGCTGAGAGAGTGAATGTGTGGGAAACAAAGAGAGATCGAGGGCATGAAGCTTGACTTCAATGACAATCATGAATTCTTCGGCCTTGGCTACAAGGCTGGACAGAGAAGAGGCTGCCGATGCTAATGACCTCTTGGGACAAAGGTCCATCAATACATTACAAATTTCATTGTTGCGCCGCTCAGGCTAAGTTTTCTTTGCCATCAGCAAAGGATATTACATCATCAGATCGCTTGATCGGGTCGGGAGAGGTTCGTGAATCAGAACACCATATGCATGGACGCTGGATCCAGCTCGATGGAGAAGATCAGCTGCTAAGAGAGGATTTCAGCAAGAACGAAGCCGAAAGAGAGACGTGGACAGGTTCTTCGCCAACAAATGAGGCGATAAGAGGCGTCCTTGGCTCGCTTCCAGTGGGTGAACTGGCACGGCAAGGATGACGGAGGGGGGGATTGACGGAGGGGCCCTTTAATGGGCCCTTTGACAGAGGCGCCCATTGATAGGACCATTTCCGGGACGGCCCTTGGATGGAGGGACCCTTTACCGAATGGATAGATATAAGTCGTCCCATCGGCACGGCGAGGAGAGGCGGAGTGAGCAGGCTAGAGCGGATCAGGCGAGACCCAAGCAGACCAGATCAGAAGGGCTCGTATAGATATCCGATGTGGATGTGGACGTGGGATGTGGCCGTGGATAACCATTCCCGAAACGCGAGTAGAAAGCCTGCAAACGTGCTGTAGTGTGCAGTGTAGTGTCGTATTGTGTAGCCGTGGGCGGCGTCTTGGCTCCACAATATCCACCGGCCAAACGGCGTCAAGGGTTCAGGGACGGGGACGCAGGCAGGGACGCGGCAAGGGACGCGGGCAGGGTCTCTTAGTGGCCGGAAAGAAGAAAGGAAAGAAGAAAAGTGCAACACAAAGAGGGGAGCAAAGAAAAAAGAAAGAAAGAAAGTCGGTAAGTCCATCGTCCATAACGGGGAGAGGATAATCCGAGACAACGACAGCTCTCATGGCCGATCTCTGGTCTCTGGTCTCTGGTCTCTGGTCTCTGGTCTCTGGTCTCTGGTCTCTGGTCTCGGTCTGGTCTCTGGTCTCGGCTTGGATTGCTCTCCTTTTGTTCAAAGGGTCAGATCAGCCAGACCAGAGGAGAGGGCAGCTTGGGCTTGGGCGAGGCTTCGTTGATCCGATGCTCAGACTGATTGATGCTCGATGCTCGATGCTCGATGCTCGGTGCTCAGTGCTCGGTGCCCAGTGCGTAGTGCGTAGTGTACTGCGTGGTCCTCGCATCGGCCGGGCGGGAGCTGAGCTGTAAGCGATGGAGAAGAAGTTGGGATCTCCGGTTTGTTGAAATACTGTCCTGGTCACGTGATACAACTAGCCCCGCCAAGCATTTTCCTCGCTCCCCTTACCGACTCGCCGTCTCTCCTCCTCTCCACCTTTTTTCAACGTCCATCCATCTATGTGTCTATCAATTTATCTGTCCATCTATCTATCCATCTGTCCATCGTGGTCCATCCACCGATCTATCTACCGATCCATTCGCATCGAATGGATCCACCCAAGCCAGCTCAGCCCTCTTCGCGCTCGTTCCGTGTCGCCCTTGATCAACATCCAATGCTTCTTCGATTTTATATACCGTTAGTTTCAGCCTCGCTCGCCCGGTACTCGCCCCTGGACTTGGACCTGGACTTGGACCTGGGCCTCCTCCACCATCTGAAGTCTAAAAAAAGCTATGCTTCCTCGCCCCTCGCCCCTCGCCCATCACTCGGCCTCCTCCACGTCCCCGTGACGAGCAGCCGGGCAATGAACCGTGCCCCGTCATCATGCTCATGCCCATGCCCATGCTCATGCTCATGCTCATGCTCATGCATGCCGATCTCGACAGTACAACACGGTCAGGCACAGTAGCAGCAGCAGCAGCAGCAGCAGCAGCAGCCGGCTGACTCTGTCGGTGCTGACAAACAGACAGCTAGCCGGTCAGCCAGCTAGTCAAGCCTTTCAAGCCATCCAAGCCCGCCAGAAGGCCAGCCAGCGAGCCAGAAGGCCAACCAGCCGAACCAACCGAACCAGCCCGTCAGCTGGTCCCTCCATTCCATGGCTGGCTGCAGTTATTCGATAGTCGATAGTCTCTTCCCGTCTGTTTAGGTATCTACCTGTCGGCAGTCTGTTCGCCAGAATCCTCATTTCCTTTGCGCTTTGGGACCTGGAACTTGAGCTCTCTCGGTGAAAGTATGGGGTCGGGTCAGGTCCCGGCCGGGTCCCGGTCGTATCATACCTCACGCGAGTCTCTCCTTGGGTTGCCGCTCGTGTAGGCTGGCTGCTTACATGTGTGGCCATGCTCTTATCCATATGAGATGTTTACGCAATCTCAGGTCGAGCTCCATCTTGTTATATACGCTTCCAAAGCCCCCCGTCTACACATCGACATCCCAACTCCCAAGCGCAATAAAACACACACTCTCTTTTTCCCGGTGTTTTTGTTGACTTTCCTCGACTTTCCTCCGCTTTCCTCCATCCAGCCGCCCCCCATGTTCTCTCCAACTCTGTTGAGAGCAGTCCTATTGGCATTTGCCGCTTCGGGTACCCTTGCCCATTCGCATCTTCACGTCAGGCAGAACCAATCCGAACGGGTTCCAAAGCCTGTAGGAGATGCACTCCAAAAAGCTGCCGCTATAGTTGACACCGTACTCACCAGGCGTGCGTATACCTCCGGCCAGGCTGTACTGACTGGACTGGACTGATTGACTGACACGTAACAGTCATGAATGGCAAGACCGTCGCTGCAAATACCACGGTGCAGCAGCTTGCGATTGCCGCTCCTAAAGCCGCCTCGGTCGGAACCAGTGTCAAGAGCACCGTCTTGATCTTGGCCCGTGATGAGGCTTCGGCATACTCCGCCACATCGGGCCTTAACGGTTACGGCATCCCCTACGAAGTTGTCCAGTTTCCGCAAGGCGGCGGCACACTCCCAACCCTCAACAGCTCTACCGCCACGGGCAACTATGGATCAATTGTCATTCTCTCCGAGGTCTCTTACGACTATGGTGGAAGCATCGGCTTCCAGAGTGCCCTTACGTCTGCTCAATTCGCCACTTTGTACCAATACCAAGTCAGTTTCGGCGTCCGCATGGTCCGCATCGATGTCTATCCCAGTTCAGCATTTGGCACTGCTGCTATTGCGGGCGGATGCTGCGATGCGGGTGTCGAGCAGCTCGTCAGCATTTCCAGCACTGCTGCGTTTCCAAATTCGGGAATGAAGGTTGGTGCCGGTGTCAGCACAGCTGGTCTCTACCGTAAGTCATGCAGTTCATATAAATGGGTTATCTATTATAGCAAGAACAACAACAAAACAACACCTAAAGCAGACAAAAATTGCAAAATCATAACTAACAGTTCTATTAGATTATCCTGCAACCATCTCCAACTCGTCCATCGCAACGGAATTCGCCTCTTTTGCACCAGCCGCGGGCTTCCCCAGCAAATCCACTGCGGGGGTCATCAACACGATCGATGGTCGCCAGCAGATGGTCTTCTTCATTAGTTTCGCAGCAGATTGGTCTTCTACATCCAATTACCTGCAGCATGCATGGATCACGTGGGTGACCAGAGGCCTTTACACTGGATTCCGTCGGGTCTACTTGAGCACTCAGGTCGACGACATGTTTTTGATCTCGGACATTTATAGCCCTGCAGGAACTACGTACCAGATCACGACTCCGGACCTGGACCAACACGTCACCTGGACCAAGGATATCAACACCCGAATGTCTCCCGGAAGTACCTACTTCATGGAGATGGGTCATAACGGTAATGGAAACATTGACAATGCGGCCAAGGCAACCAACGGCGCTACTACGTGCGGCATCGGTCCCATCGACTACCCTGGACAGAATGATACCGCTCTTGAGTTCCAGAAACCTTTGGGAACCGGTACCAACTTGTGGCCTTCCACCCCGGCGACGTATCCCTACACGCTAGCTTGTACGAACTTGGACAAACTGAAGGTCTGGTTCGCGAACCAGGCCAACCTCAACGCCATGGCCCACGTCTCGCACACCTTTACCCACCTGGACCAGAACAACGCGACGAACTTTGACGTTAATCGAGAGATCTCGTGGAATCAGGCCTGGCTCAAGCAGGTCGGGATTGCAGCGGCCACCCGATTCTCGCCTAATGGCCTAATCCCACCCGCCATCACGGGTATGCACAATGGGGATGCCATCAAGGCGTGGGCGGACAACGGAATCAAGAACGTCGTCGGCGATAATACGCGTCCCGTCTTGAGGAATAAGGAAAATGAGATGTGGCCACTCACCACCACGGTCGCCGACAACGGATACGCTGGAGTCACCATTATCCCACGCTGGGCGACCAACATCTACTACAACTGCCAACTTCCCGCCTGCACCGTCGCGGAATGGATCAACACCTCGGGCGGATCTGGTGATTGGGATACTCTCCTCGCCGTCGAGAAGAACACCAATACCCGCCACCTCCTTGGTCTGCGCCACGACCCATACATGTTCCACCAGGCCAACCTGAACTATGTCACCGCCGGGACGACGACCATCAACGGCGTCACCAAGAAGCTCTCCATGTTGCAAGCCTGGGGCGAGGTCATCATCCAGGAAATGGTCCGTCTTGTCAGCTGGCCCGTAATCTCGCTAAAGCAGGACGATATTGCAGCCGATTTTACCAACCGCATGGCACGGGATAAGTGCAAACCCAGTCTCTCATTCACTACCAACCCGAGTTCGAAGACCATCACGGGCGTGACTCTGACGACCACCGGCAATACCTGCGCTGCGAAGATTCCCGTAACGGTCCCAGGAAGCGTTACTAGCACCCAAGGCTTCACAACCGAGAAGATTGGTGGCGACCCGCTCACCATCTGGGTTTCCATGTCCGGATCTCCCGTGACCTTCACGCTGAGCACCCCTGTGGCGTACTAGGTTGCAGATCAGGTTGTGGTTATCTCCTCTCTCCATTCACGACGAAGTCACGACGGGTTCACGTTCATTTCATTAGCGAGTATTGGATTTTTACAGGCTTGAGGATGTTGCAATCGGCTTGTCAGCCGGGGATCTCGGAAAAACGGAACTGCAATGAAGCGGGGTATTTTTGAACGGTATCGGCTAGGGTTGGGTTCGGTACACTATTTTTCTTTCGAATACATATTTTAAATATAAATTTTTTACATTCAATAGAAAGGCGTTTTTCAAAATGAATCTATCGTCTCGCTCTCGTAGCTGGAAGAAATCATAATACTGTGATACGCACTAGGTATTGTCTCGTATGGCTCAATTCCGAAGTATATGACCTGCATACATACGGACATGTACATGGATTGTACATGTATGTATATGTATATGCATACTTATGCACGACTCCATGCCACAACAACTTGCCACGCCACGGCGCCACCTCTCGCACACTGAAGATTTCAATGTCGTTTTCGTGAGCGCTGCTGCGTGGCGGCTTGCTGCATGGCGGCATGTGGTATGTGGTATGTGGTGTAACTCTCGTGACTCCGTATACGATGTACGTTATATGCATGAGGGAGGTAGAGAGTGGCAGAGGGGGGTTGAAGAAGGAATGGAAGAAGATAAGGTGAAGGAGAGGGGGAGGGGGAGGAGGAAGAGAAGGGAGGGAGAGAGAGAGAGAGAGAGAGAATGTATTATTATTTTTAGTTATTTTTATTGGTTAGGTTATGTAGTTGGGTTATGGGTATGTTACGAAGTAGATGGGTTATAAGTGAGTGAGTGAGTGAGTGAGTTCTGCTAAGAGGGTGGACGGTGTAGCTAAGAAGGTCGGGATTGGGATTGGGATTCTTGAAATGGAGAAAGGGAAAGGGAAGAGGGAGAAAGGAGAGGTGTAGATTGTGGTGGGTATGGTATGATGCCTACACAAGCTCGCTTGTTTGTTGATGATGATGTCGATATTTGATTTAAGAGACCTGGATGTATAGTTCTAATGAACACAAGAACAAGGAATGAAAGCGAAAAGGGGACATTTATGCATTGTCTGACGCACCCCGCACCCCGCATCTCCTCCTCCTTGTTCTTCAGCTGCCGTGCTGCCGGAGAAGGAAGTGCCTCACTCGCGAAAGTGAATGAGAAAGTAAACAAACGAACAAACCAGCAAGCGAAAGAGCTAGAATAGCCAGCCAGCTAATTCGTGATATAAGCTCTAAAATTGATTGTTTGGATGCCTGATAAATGAATGAACAAACGCCCAACAGCCGTAGAGAAAAAGAAAGGGGCACTTCTCTCTCTCTCTCTCTCTCTCTCTCTCTCTCTCTCTCTCTCTCT